TAACGAACGCGTTGCATCTGCCGTTTTTTGGTTTTTCGGGCTTATGAAATATGAACAATGCTGTTATAAAAAAAAAAAGTTACTCCGATGGATTTTGACGTACAATAATGCTTCGTTTGTTTGAAGCGATTTCATGCATGACGTAACGTTAATATTCAAACAGCCTCTGACTTTCACTCACTTTCCAAGGTGCACTCGTAAGTTTTTCATGATCACTTTAAAAAAGCCAGTAAAAAAGTTTTTCCAAAGGATCATCCCTTGAGATCCCAGCAGTGCTTACAGAGAACAATACAATTTGCAAAAGAGTCGTGCAAGCGCAGAAAAGTGCCAGTTAATTAATCTCCGTCTCTCAGAGAGCATCTGCCCATACACACACCTATAACGGGCTAACAGAGAAAAGCTCGTAGAGACGGAGAAGAAAAAAAAATGCATATATACGAAGCTTTTCAAAGGGCCTCTTTCCCAAACTCTCGGGCTATTCTCTCGGAGCGGGGGACATACGAGCTTTTTCAGGTCAAGAGCTTGCAGATCGATGACACCTCTCACCCACCCATCGACACCTCGATCTGCCCTACCGACTGCCAATTTCTTGCCAGCACTTTACCCTACACCTCGTTTCGGTAGCAAATTGTTGGATGCCACGCCGTAGGAGCGCGCATCGGTTGCTCCGTGTGCCACCCCTTCAACTTTGTAAGAGCAATACCGTCAGATATCTGAGGAATGTAGGAGGGGCGGACCCGAGCGTGCAGCTTGCACCGTGAAGATCGTATACCATCACAAGACGTTACGAGGAAAATGCGATCCGTCCGAGCGAAATTCGAGGAATTTTTTTCGTACCGATGTTAAGGTGGGCCATTGCACCCTTCTCGACCACCCACGAGGTTTTCATTCGCTAGGCTGACAGTGCGGTTCGATTAGCTGTATAAAATTCACGGGCCACCGAATACGTCGAGCGTGTACGTTTCATTCTCGAAATTCGAGTCTGTAGAATTTCTCTTTTGACAACGCAGAACCAAATTTTCCCTTGGAAATGCTGCACAAACATTCTTTTTTTTCCGAGTCCCCGAAATATTCCATCCACGTCTATGCCCCCAGATTTCTCGCTCCACCGGCTACACGAGCCTGCCAGTGTTTTTCCTCGTATTGAAAATCGAACTCTGTCGAGTCAAAGTAGTGGTCCATTCCACGCACGGTTTCCATGCAACAAAAACGGAGACCTTTCTCTCGCATCGTTAGCCGAGCTTGGCTCCTTTCCCGGACGGTGCGATGAGGTTGCCGAGCCAAATCAATTGGTGGAACGGCTTTTTTCCGTGCAGAGGCGAATTAGTCGGGTAGAGTAGACGCTAAGTGATATTTTGCTTTTCCGGTGAACTAGTCGGGCTTCTGCGGTGATTTAGCCGACGATCGAGGCGTGTTGCGCCAATATGATCGATTTACATGTTCTTTCTATTTTTTTTTTTGGCATATTCTGTCACAAGCACGGATCCATGGAAAATGTTTTATACACTCCAAAAGATTTCACGGGCAATCGTTCATCGTGATGAGATGAAATTGCACAAGCTTCAATCGTGTAAACGCACAATTTTCCCTATAAAATCAACAGACCAAACACATTGATTTTTGTGGACTGTTGGAGTTTAATTTCATCTGAAATCCAATCGCCGAATGAACTTTGAGCGAGTGACAATTATTTTGCAATTGTGATTAATTAATTCGTGTGACCAGTCCTAATCCCAATCGCAGGCAATCAGCCACCAACGCGATCACTCCTCCTAAATCCAGCCAAGTGACTCGGCAAAGCTTAAATATAAGCCAAAGCGTATACGCACCACAGAGACATATACGCCGCGTAAGCATCATCGTGTACACGCCAACGACTTTGCACCCGAGCACGTGACGCAGCCGCGAAATTTGAGTTACCCGCGCAGGCGCTCTCCCCCGCGTACAATCGATGCCCAGCTGCTCTGCCCCCGAAGCGGTACCGTTCACGCGAGCAACTTACACACCCCCTCTGGACGCACTTTCTGTATTAATGTCACGTAAAAATCAACGATCACTCAACAACTTCAACGAGCTCCAGCGAGCTAGGCAACATGATTCGGCACAGCCACTTGAAGGAACTGCATTCCGTGCGCAAGCTCGCTCTCGCCCCGTTTTCTCGAGCTTTTTGGGCATACGCACGCACGAATGCAACGAGGGAGGGAAGCAGTAGCACACCTGTGAAAATTTTCTCACCGTCTAGGGCGACGGACGGCTCGATTAAAGAAAAAACAAAACAAAAACCGGTACAGCAGCCTCGGTAGCATCCCCAGCTGACGCAGTGTCGCCTTGACGGTAGAAACGGCAGAGCATACACAGTATATATATATAATATGGGGTCGCGTGTGCAAAGCGAAAGCGCGCGCACGTTGCGCCTTTCTCCCTCTCTTTCGAGTCGCAACGGTGTGCACACGCAGAGTGTGTACAGTGATAGTGTACGTAGACAAGGCCGTCGTTAAAGAGATGGGGCTCGTGGAGCCGAGCGGAAGGGAAGGCCGAAGCTCTGCCGCAGTGGAGCGAGCAAGGGAGCTACCCTCCCCCTCCCCCTACCCTTCTGGTTTTTCCGGCAGTGTCAAACACACACGGATCTCTGCAACGCGTGTAGCGTAGTGTTTCTCGCGCTACTTGCCGACCGACCGTCCTCCGATCGGAGCCTCTTTGAGTTTTGCGCTCCGCGGTGCAGAGATCCGAAGTCACAAGACATGGATGACTCGAGTGCGAAGGTATGAGTCTCCGTGTCGTCTGTGGATCGTGCTTTCAATTTGTGTTGCTTTGAAAAATATTTCTCGTGTTTTGGGTGTTATCGGCAATCACGTCAAGTACAGCCGAGTGCGTCAAGTCTTTCTCGATCCATTTGAAAATGGCTGGTGGACACAATTGCCTACACGTGACGATTAAACAAAATATCGATGACTTGAAATAGGGGAGCGACAACTTTTTTTTTTTGGGTTTTTTTCTTCATCGCTGAAGAACGTGCAGCTCCAATGTAAAATCTCTCGTTGGAAACCAAAGTTGTTAACACACGGGGATCGTTAAAAAAAAAAAAAAAAAAAAAAAAAAGGTGGCAGGGGCAATTATAGCAGAGCCCATGTGGTCACGCGAGTCGTTGAGCGAGCAATGCATGCTGCGGAGTTGCTGGTGTTCCATCGGAGAACGGTACGACGTTTTATTATTCATGCGCCCTACGTGCCCCGGCCGAGGGAGAAAGTATTACGAAAGAGCGAGCTTTTAGCCAAACGAGCGGTGGTTATACCGTAATACCCCGGGGTAAGCTGGAATTTGCCATGCTTTCAACCCTTACCCTCCTTCGTACCGATTGCGTTTCAAGGAAATAATTTACTTGCCACCTGCCATTTATTTGGATGGCGTACTGAAATCGTTGCAAAGAACAACAGCGAGGGTGGAATAAAAGGGCGCGAACGCAACGCCCACCCCACGCTAACCTTGACCTCCATTGGATCGTGTTCCTTTCCCTCCTCCTGGTTGTGGAATTTCACTACCCGGCAAAGGGAGCTCGCTGTGTTTCAATTTCCATTCGTACTTCCGTGAGCGGCGCATCGGACGGAAAAATTTCGCCAATCACCATAAATTACCGTACCTTGGAGAGCCTTCTCGTACGCTTGGAGTCTTGAGGCTCACGCGATCCTGATGCAATGATTCACCGGATGGGGGAGAAGGAGGTAACGACGACGAGAGGAAGGACGGTAATAACAATTTGGCTGGCAACTAATTGAATTGCCCGTTGAGCCTATATATATATACGTGCCGAGTTCGTCCGCGAGAGGAGTCGTGGTTGATTGCTCGAGCCTATACTGGCTGATGGCCAACTCCATTGAATTTTTCATTCAGAAATCAAGGAAGGGACGAAATAATTGCCAGCGGTATTTAACGAGGGGGGATCGTTACAACTGCCAAGGACCATGGGTGCTTATCGGGTCCATACTTATTTCGACGCTACAGCAGCACAAAGAAGGAAGAAGAAAATAGCGTAGTGGTGGCGAAGGAGGTGGTTGTAGTTGTGTCGGTGAGCAGCGCACGAGGAGCGCCGTTGGCCTTGAGGCGAATCGATGCTCGGCACTATACTGGCACGGCACAGTGGCACAGTACCGCACAGACCAGCAGGAGCAGTAGCGGTGGAGCCCATGCAGTCGTCTGCCTGTGCGCACTCACGCTACTTCCCTTCTTTGAGAGCGAGAGTGAGAGGGGGGAGGGAAGGGGTTCGTATACACACACGTTTTATTCTCGTGTCCCAAAACACAGCAGTTAGGCGCTGACCAACGATCACCGAGTGCTTCCTTTTTTTTTATCGTCATTGTTTTTGAACGTTAAATTTTCGTTTCATTGAGCTTTGGCTGAGCTTGTAAACTCCGGTACCCTTTATATTATCTACAGGGTACGGAAACAGTGACAGTGCGTCGTATGATGCAAACGTTTGACCTCATTGCGTAAGATGTGACAAGTGCCAAGGTGTTCGTTGGGTACAGTGTCGATCGAGTGTTTTTCGTAGGTAGGCACAACTGAAACAAAGTGCTGCTCGGCACCAAGCTAGCATATGCTACCAGGAGAGTAATCAAAGTGGCAGCACCACCAAATTTTCCCGCTCGTTGGATTCAGAGGAATCACAAAAGTTCGGATCGTGGGGTGTATTTGGGTCAGGTGCAGGCGTTAAAGTTCAAAGTGGCGTGAACAAGCTTGGAGATGGAAAAATCCCTGGAATCGCCAAAGGCTCCCCATCATCAGTAGCATGCCTCTTCGGTCGCACAGAACAGCGCAGAGCGCGGCCAGGATGAGTCCCGGCTTGGTGCGCTCGGTTAGAAATCGGCGCGATGCCAAGCCGCAGCAAGATGACGGACTGTATGGATGATCGCAGGATTATTGGGGCCCAGCCAGTCCTACGGCCGCCACCATAGGTCCCACGAGCTGCGAGCAGGGGCAGGTGGCGGCCGACTCGTCGCCTCGGGACGCCGATGGTGGACGCAGGGGCTCGGGTGGCTCGAGCGAGCCCCTCCTCGACATGGCTGGCCGCGAGAACTCTTGGAGCGAGTACGAGGCCCTCAACGCCCTGGGCTCGGCTGCCGTTAGTCCAGGCTCGACGCCACCCAACCAGCACCCCCAAGCCGACAGCGACCCTGTGCTCACTGCCAACAGCACCAACAACCACCAGCAGCCGGCCGAGGCGACTTACAACGAGTTGACTGGCAGCACGCACAAGGTACACTCGACTTCGGCGCCGAGGGTCTACTTTCACGCGGAGAATCTGGCCTCGACGAGGCGCAGGAGTAGCTGCAGGGTCTTTGGGCCCCAGGCGTCCTACAGGAGGAGGAGCAGGAGCATGAGCGCCTGGAGCGACCTGTCGCGATCGTCCATCAGGTTCGACGAGAGGTGAGACTGTTTTTTTTTTTTTTTGTTACTTTTTATTTTATCTCTGTCTCGTATGATTGACATTGTGAAAGTTTGGAAGCCAAAAGATGAAAATTTCCACCCCATCGATTCGCTTGGAACAGCTCGAGTTCAACGAACAAAAGCATCATTTGCTATCCATCCAATATCCATGAAAAATATCCGCCAGTGGTTTTAATCAACTAAAACGCATCATCAGTATGGATACTAAAAATATCTTAAACACGTGGCCTTGCCTCTGACGCCACGTAACAAAAATACATTTCTGCACAAGCCATCGATTTAAAATTCAATATCGCAAAAGGATCGCACGGGAAAGATTCTCAGAGTTTCCGTGTGCTTCTACAGCTAACCGAGGGACATCGATTTGTCTACTGTAGTCCAAGCAGCAGACACATCGGATTTACGCGTGGTTATCGCCGATCGTGGAAAATAGACTGCTTACTCTGAAATCCTTGGAATCAAAAATCCGGGGAACGCTTACCGGTGCGGTATCTCCTCGTTTTTAATAAACACGCGCTCTGCTGAGTCGCTTGTTCTCACTGCGTCCCCATTCTCTTGTAAGCCACAGAGCATCAAAGTTGCACCCAAAGTTTGCCAGGTTTTATTGCTTGCGCAAGGGACATTCGTGACTCCGAACTTTATGCACGCGTCTTTCCCCTCTTTCAGTTTTAGTCGTCGAAATTTGGGGTATAGAATTTTTATCAAAAAGGCACGAATTGCGTTTGAAGGACTTATCGAGATTATACCTCGTCTTTAATGGCTTTATGCACGTCTTGGTGAATCTACGAACAACGCGAGACTTGAGTACTTATGATGGGTGAAAGCACAAATTGTCAGATACAAACAATGCTCCCGTGTAATCCGACCTCTAAACCATTGTTTGATAAAAGACTGATCCTCCCCCAAAGACTCTTGTCACGTTCTACTCAATCCAATCATCTACCTGTCAACTTTATTTCTCAAACTAATTTTTTTTTTAATTTTTTTTGTAAAAAGCAGATACATCTGTCATCGCAATATGTTCACCTTGATACGTTTCCCATCACGAAAATTTCTCGTCCAAGCTTACGCACGTAATATCGTATGTCAATGTTTTAGGGACAAGAACAGATAGTAAGAATTTTCATGTACAAAAAAACTGCTCTCATTCGTCGATATTTTTCCTTTCCCATTGCTCACTGCTATGAGGGGCTCCATCGATGAGAGGCATTGGTCGGTAGATGGCTGATATCATCCTCGATTTTTCTCCACCTTCCATTTCCCCTCTATATCTTATATGATGATTTTATGATTGGGTTTTGTTTTTGTTGGTTGGATTTTTCCTTAAATAAACAAAAGTGCATCACAAGCGAAAGAACTTGATTAGCATTACAGTGGTACTCTTTCCGTTTCCAATATATTATTATATTATCTCTGCTTCTGAGTAAACTCTCGCAGATCCCCGAGTTGTGTTCATCCTTTTTCCCCCTCATACATTATTCCATGCCCAAGTGAAGTAACCTTCGATTGTTTTGAAAGCAAACACGCTAAGTCTATTTCGCAGCTGGGAATAAACGGGAACGCAAAAGGTACCTCTATTATTTGTAACCTTAAATGAAGAAAAAATTACACGGTTGATAAGTGCGTGTGAGAATTACGTGATAAATTTATTGTTTTCGACTCATGCGTGGAGAAAAATACGGTATAGCTTGGAATTTAATTTAATTCTTATTTTAGTTATGACTAAAATCTTTTAAATTCGCTTCAATTAAAACAGCAAAGTGTACGTAATTTTATATCAAAAAAGTTAAAGTGAGAAATTTATTGAAGAAATCGGTTGTATATATCGTTCAATCTGAGAAACACTTGAAAACCAAAAAATTCCCGTTTAAAAAATTTTTTTTTCACAGCTGAATTTTACGACTAGCTGTGAAATGGACTTTTTTTAGGCCACGACTTTCTCGTTTCCCAGCCCGAGGCTCTTTGTTTTATGACACTTGCGCGAACTTCAACGTGAAACATACCTAAACACACAATTGAGAGTATAGAGCCACGAAAAGCCCTGCAGTACTGCTTCACACTTTGAAGATGAAACTTTAGCTAGAAAAGCGTCGAAATACCCTGTATGTATAGTTAATCTCCACAGCTGAACTTTCTAACTTCTAGGTAAGTCATAGTTCAAGAAATGATTCGAGAAACTCCAACTCCCTCTGTTCTTCCCCCTCATTTTATCCCTGTCTGCAAACGAGATTTTAGATTACTTTGATCGATGCTGTACTTAAATTGAAATTAAGATTTCACAGCTGTTAGGAGCATAAGCTATACTTGTAGTTGTGTATATATATATACTTACAAACTGTAGCTCAGAGAGTAAGTCTATAATCATGTAAACTCTGAAACTAGATTTTAAAAATCTTGTGAATAATTTACTACATTATTAGAAACATATGTTTGTATACACATACCTATAGTATAAAATTAAATGCATGTGTGCTTCCAACGTTTAGTGTGATTGAATTAATTAAATATCATTACTAAATTTGATATATACTAACATTACTTTTCTTATTGCTTCCTCTTTTATTTGGAGAGACAACCTTTATAAAACATTTTACTTAATCATAGCTTGTTAAAAGGGTACCCATGGAATGATAAATCAAACAGTCTCTTGAAAATCCATTGCTTTCACATTTAAAAAAAACGTACGTATCTTAAAAAAGTAATTGTTGAATTAGTTTCGCGTTAAAAATAAATACATAATACCTTAAGAGTTTTAGTTGTAAATATTGGAGACTATTCTCACAAGAAATATTTTCCCTGAAAAATACTCCTTTATAAAGTTTCAAGACTTCGACTCTCTACGAACACAACAAATATCACGTTTTCCATTGGAAAATACATGGAAATAAAACGTCTAAGCTTAAAATGAGTTTAAAAAAAAAAAAAACTCAGTCAACAAGTATCTTTTCCATTTTTATTTATTGCTCTTTGCCACACTCACTTATACAGTGAGTAACAAATGTTACTTGCTAAATCATCACCATATGGATATTCTACGTACACTGTAACAATGAAAAACCTTGACGTCATTTTTAATATCAAATATTCAGTCACGGAGATTCATAACATACAATGCATCCATTGTTAAGCAACGAAATAATTTTCATCACTTTTTCCTCGCTAAATTAAAAATAAATAAATAAATAAACAGCCTTCCTCAAATGCTCATCAAGCACACGTGTCGAGTAACAAAACAACCCCTCGGCTTGCACTTTGTCTGACACGGGAGGTAAAAAAGGGAACTTTGTCTCCACAGCTCGCAATTACCTTACATGTTTGAAGTGCCCATGCGCAGAGTATCCCGGGGCCACAGAAATTTTGAACCCACAAAGTATTTACATCCTCGGAGCGCTGCAAGGGTACCCGCACCCTTTTTTTATGTGTGACGTCACACACGGAAGAGCGTCGCATCGTGGCTGCGCACATCTAAAATTCAAGGTTCACGTGGGCTGACACGTATGCAATACGTACACACAGATAGAGCGAATCGAGGACCTGCATAGTTCTCGGTGAGCATAAAAGCCTACTTCGCCATTGAGAGCAAACGACCTTTCACTTTCATCTGATTCCTTCCTATTTTTTTTTCTTTTTTTTTCGGAAATGAGGGATAATTTCTCACAACGTTCGTACGGAACTTTCGTGCAAAAAAAGAAGTATAGATAGGCACAACAGCAATGACTATGGTACTTTGACACCAAAATGAGCGACGGCTGTTTTCATCTCTTCATTTTGTGCTGAGGTATTGTGTCAGGTGTACCGAGATTTGTACTTTTCTGCTCACCTACTCTCGTTTTCAATCTTCCCTTTCTTTTCTTTTGTTCTTTTTGAAGCAAAGGCGAAATCATGATATTGAAAATGGTCACTACGTATCAGAGCCATTAACATAATTGTTTCAGATGATGTAGGATGGATCATCCTATCTTAGGCTCGGTTTATTTTACACGGGAACTTTTTACTGTCAAGCTTTTTTTTGCCATCGTAAATTATTTTCATGAATTTAAAACCACTACTTTCATTGGCTCTGAAAACCCTTGTTTAAACGACAGAAATATTGAATCTCAATTTCATTGACACAATTTACTTTTCACGAACTAAATAAAAAATAGGTAAAATTACTTTACTTTTAATTTTATGTGAGAAAACTACGTTCAAGTGAACTAAATCGTTGACCGCATTACACCAAACGAAATGGTATTGAGAGTTTTTTGCGATTCACCGACCAATCCGAGTAGTGGTTGAAATTCCATTTCACTTTGCCCACTTTCACCAAACCAGAAAAGAAAAAGAGTAATTTATTGGAAGAGTTATATAGCCCGGCATGCATATTCTCTGAAACAGTGTGTTTTTTAAAACTTTTTAATGAACTTTTGGAAATTTTCTTATTTTATTCACTTAATACATTACTGAAAAAAAAAAATTCATTACATCAAACAACTTGTGTAATCGGAGCCGTATCAATTCACTGTATACATTTATTTTTCAGGTTAAAACGTGACACAATCATACAGTATATAATTTAATTAAAATTGTATTAAAAATTCCAATTAAAGGCTAAGAAATGTTATGTGTACAGATTATTTGGGGGGATTTTTACTTTAATTTATATAACTATTTCCAATTAATTTTCAAAAGTCAGCTAAACACACCATGTAATCGATGTCAACCAAAGAAAAGAAAAAAAAAGGGTTTACGTGGGTTGAAATTTTATCATAACAATAATCAAATGACTTCACACTTTTTTGAACATTATTTTAATGTATTAAATCATATTTTATGCTGTATATTTTTCTTCCGAACTTCTCTTGCATGAGTGCGGTATTTTCTCAAAATATATTATAAGTAGAACAAGTAAACGTATAGTCAGCCAAAAGATCTCATCGAAATATTTCACAATACGTTGCCTAATGAAAATAATATTACTATTTTGCTATACTTTATCTTGCTGAGTGTCCATGTACTGTCAGATAAGATTGAAAAAGTTCTTGCACCCAAGAATAATGGAGAAACTCGCAGAATCTTGAAGCACAGTACATTCATTTTACAGAAGATGTTATATTGTTATAAAAAGAGTTAAGTCAGAACTGTAAGTCCTCATTGTAAAAAAAATTACTTGAAATGATGACAAAATGTCTTTTGCCGAGGTAAAACCCAAAACGGACGAAGAATGAAAAACGCGAAAATCTCATTAACAAGATCCATCATTGCTCAACACTGGAAAGATTCGGTGAAAACAACAGAGTAATTAAACTGAGATCCCTCAAAGCTCACATTTGTCTCGCTCGATATGAAAAAAAAAAAAGTTTTAGCTATAAGCTACAACGGTCTCGAGTCCCTGCACCTCGTTTTGTTGATCCCACGCGCTATATCGCAAGACAAACCGCACGTACGCTCGTGCGCTTACACAGAGTACGCTCCGCGAATTCGAAAGCGAGCAGAGCGAGTACTACTGTCATTGCTTGGCTTACGCGTGCACTTTTTTTTGAACTAAAACCATAAGATAGCGGTAATCGAGTGCACGATAGAGGATAATTTATATTGGAAGGACGGCCTTTGCTGCACGCCTGCGTAAATATTGAACGAGAGGCTTTCGAGCATAATTGCCTTTTTTTCATGCAATCGAGTCTGCGTGTTTAGACTTGAAATTATTATACCTGTTTACATGCAGGTGTTATTTTACATGGAATCATATTGGCAAAGTAGCTATTTTAACTGTGATAATTTTGGTTGCTAAACACCTTTTATTTGGCCCATAAAAACCTTTTGAAGATGAAAAAAAATTCCGTGGCTTGAATTTTGTGTTTACCCTCTTCCATGCATAAATATTCTAGAAAATATTTTGAATTAAATCCACGGTAGATAAGATTTAATTACATTACCTACTTATCTTACGCTCTCAGCGCGTTTTTATCAAATTTTTAAGAGCTTATCTTTGGTAAATATTACAGGAAGTGTGTTTAAATTCATTAATGCTAAATTTTTAAAGATGAATGAAAATAACTATCATAAAATATAAAAGTGTTCATTATATCTAAAAATATAGTTTTTCATCGTTACGTGCATCTTTATAAAAATTGACCCCATTTGAGGCACTGCAGTATGTCTCCTGATCCATGCGCAGACTCACGCAGATGCGACTCCCCAAAGTTGAGTTTGTTTTATTTGGCCACCCCTCGGATTTACATAAGCACACGTTGCATGTTGACAAGATTTTTTGTTGACTTTTTCCAAAGTTGACGTATGCCAAGTGATATTATTGCACGATTTCATCTAGATAATCTGCAATAATCTGCCACTATGAACTTTTAGTACATTGAAAAAAAATACCTTTTTTCTTATTTAGTGTAAAAATTAGAAATAAAATTTATTTGTATGAATAGCGGAACAGTGCTCTATATGATATACATTTTTTATCAATCACACGGTCAATTTTCTATGATTGAAATTTTATGCCCCAACAAATGGCTTATAATCTATTTGCAATCAAATGACTGACTATTGTTCTCGTTGTTACTCACAGATTTTGTTTATGATTCTGCAATGGACAAGCTATCTTCATTACCAGCTGTATCACAAATGATCTTGCGTCTTTGTCGTCAGTAATAAATCCACTATTAAAATGCTGCACATTATTAATAGTAATGAGTAATAATGGACTGCGAGTCTGGTCATTCGTTTTTAAACAGTTGTTAAGAATTCGTTTATTAGCACTAGTAGTAAGCATTTATTGATAATAGTGATGAAAGCAGTTGGATTCATAAACTATAAAAGTGTATAAAAGTAAATGCATTAGTTCTTCCAAAATATGACGTTTATATTGAAACCATTTATGAAAAAAAAAAAAAAAAAACTGTAAAAGAAGTCTTATTAAAAAGGAACGAGAAGCTCATTTCAGCTCTTCCTCTTTAAAATTTTTGAAAATTTAATTTATAAAAAGCTTGAATGTTTTCTCTTATAAAACGGATTAGTTGATGAAATTTCTCGTGCGAAAAAATTTTTATACCCAAACATATTGATGAGAAACGCAGTTTGACGTTCTCGTGAATTTGTTTTCTTCATCCCGACATGCATCTCTGAGCGCACCTCTGGAAAATCCTATCTACTCAAACAAGAGTGCAAAGTCATGGAAACCAATCCCTCCAAGAAAAAGAATTTCCACTTTTTTTGTATTTGTATACTGTTGAAATAATATGTTTCACCAATCCTTTACAAAATTTTTTGTTCTGTTTTATGTTTCAGGTAAGTTCAGAAGGATCTAAAGTTGGGATGGCAAAACTATTTTTCGCACCAATGCGTAAGTAGACGAAAAAATAATTTTTCCCCCCTGTGTCTAAGTCACACGGTGCTAAGAAAGAGATACCAGAGTCGCATCAGGTTGAATAACGATGTCTCCCAAATGTTGTTTCCAACGGGGATCAATTTACACGCAACCCGACTTACCCCTACTGATACGGCATAATGTACTGGTAAAACCAGCAAGCTCGCGTGGGTAAAAGAGAGAGAGGGTAGATCGATTAATCCATCTTTAAATGGGTCAGAGGGCGAGAATGAGATACACGCTGTAGGGCATGTATATATAAAGAGTATACGTGAGTACGGCTATGCGTCAGCGTACCGTAGCGTAACGCCTATAGCTGTTAGCGTGTACAATATATATATAACAGTGCTACTACTGTTTGATATTGAAGTACCGCAAGTTAGCCGTAGGCCGGCTCTTTTCAGGGATTATACGTGGGTATACTCGTGCATATTAAAGGAGAATTTCGGGTTACATTTAGTTACTCTGTTTTAATATATGCAGTGAGATGCTTAGTTAATGACTTGTACACGCTGTAAAAGATGAATTTAGCGTGTATGATGAATTTCAACCCAAGATTGAGCTGTGCTGTTTAAGATTATTTATGTAGTGCAAGTATGAAGAGTCAGCACTTATATGGTGAAAAAAAGTGAACTATTTTATGCTATTACCATTGCCCCTCAGCCGAGAACATGAAAAAGTGTTAATTAAATCTACATTTTGCACTACAAAGCCTAGATAACACGTTTATGTCCGCAAAGCTGAGGTGATACTACGCTCATGGAATAGTATCGTATTACTCCTAAATGACAACGTTATCAGAGTACATATTAAAAAATGATTGAATCATAATTTACATGGTATTAATTTAAAATTAATTAAAAATGATTCAAATCTTTTTGATTTTCTAGAGCAAGCTTTATCGATAATTATTTGCGTACATTTTCAGTGAAGCATAGTACGAAGTGTAATATATTCACTTGTAGAACACATGTTGCGAAAACACTGCAGTGTGTATAAAATTACTTACTTTAAAATAGCTTGTACTTTTTTTTTTTTTTTTTTTTAATTTACTGAAGCTTAAAACTTAAAATGAAAACCTTATCGTATGCATGATTCAAAATATAATCGAATTTACGGGACACGTGTACTGCAATATCTCACTGTATCATCTCTGTCAATATTGTATAGAGTATCACACAAGTCCCCAAAGCTTACTTCGATATCGCAATAAGGTAAAGTATGAAATGACTATTTGTTCATGTAGAAAGACTTGGATAATATGTTACGTTTGTTTGAATACCATGCGTTAAAAACTTTATTTTTCCACATTTTCTCAAGTTAAATGTTTGAAAAGCTATTTTCTTTTGAGTTTTTAAGTTCAAAATTTTCCGAAGTAACACGAGGAGCTATAAACAAAGTTAGGTAAGCCCGAAGGCTGAAGGAAAAGTCCCGCGGGTCATTTTTCAAGACGATAATTCGGAGCTTGGCAGCGGCCTCATCGCGTCAAGTTGTCAGGCACAACGCAAATACAAATTTGGCAGCAGAAGCAGTTGATAAAAATCATAAGCCATCCCGAAACCAACTAACTCGGAAGAAAAGAGCAAACAAGTCGAACGAGGTAAAAAAAAAACTGTCGGAAATCCCAAGCGCCTCACTACCGGCGTGCTTAGAAGGGGATGGAGGTTGAGCTCATAAAAAGGGCCACGTACACTTTCGGAGTTCCTCTTCTTTCCATTCGGGCGGCCGAAAGAGAGAGGATTCCGTGTCAGCGACTCGTTTTTCATTCCCTTTCGACCGGGCCATTCTCTCCCACGACCCACATTTCGGTCTCGGTCCGCAGATAATTTGGAAATCGCTACGCCAGGAGGCCGAAAACGTGTACTCAGGCGGAATACAAACTCTAGCCACTCGACGTATACCACTTTCATCGACTTCCCCTCCAAGGGGGAAAAAGTATCGGTGCAGCGTGCGCTCGCCACTTGCGATTCTGACGTCCACCTCATTTGTTTTTTTCAGCGCTTCCGTTAGCTGCGCGAAATTAGTTGCCCAGCGGGCTTTCTTCTTCACGTAAATGGAACCCACGGATGAGGTCGTTTCGGTTGAATTTAAAAAAACTGCAAATTCTCAGTTGGAAGTGAGCGTAATGAGATTGTAATCGATAGCCAGCGAAATTGAAGGGATTGCATTAAATGAAACTGACTATCGAGGAGATGAAAATCACCGCAGCAGGTGTAAATAAAAATAGATAATAGGTGCTACTACAATTACAAAGTCTATTTTTAGTTGGATTGCACGAAGAAGTCATCTTTTTTATAAAAATGATTATGCGCAATAAAAAAAAAAAGTTGGTTCGTTAAAAGAGGCAAACTACGTCGATAAATTATGTAAACATCTGGGGTGTAAAATAACACAGAGAAATTAAGGGTGTATTCTGTGAATGAGAGGTTTGAGTGGATTAGAGGTTTGAGATGAATAATAACTTCAATTGACTGCTAGAGTCTGAAAGGTTTCCGTTGAAGGATATTTCTCGTGCAAAAGCTGAGATGGGAAAGAAAGAGAGAGAGAGGAAAATAAGGCGAAGAAAAGCACTTTGAACGACAAGAGCGGGAAACATGCAACTTTTTTTTCTGCTTAACCATTTCCTTTTACTTCGAGTGTTATGACTATAAGAAGGGAATAAAGAAAACTTCAGGCTTTTCTTTGGCGACCTTAATCGACTTTCGTGACCAGATTTCAGATTAGGTTGAATAAGAGGCATGGGGATATCATGTTGTTGGCTAAACTAACAGAGCATAATAATTCTTTACAAAGACTTTTTCTTCAGTGTTGTATTATCATTGTATTTTCAAATAAGATGTTGACAAGTGAATGAAAAACAGTCAGAAATACCCAAGCACAAATTATACATTTTGTGATGTATTGATCGTAAGGTATGCATCAGTACTTTCAAGATGTCGATATTTATATCAATAAATACACATTTCTCATGTAAGCCAAGCAACAGCTAAGGTAAAAAAATAATGTTGAATCAAAATTGAGAGATTTTTCTAAAAGTGTCTTCCTTTCAATTTAACTTTTTCAAATTAAAAACCAGTTACACTTTTGAAACAAGACCTTGAATTTTATAAGCCACTCAGTAACGACTCCTCATTCATATACACAGAACTGCACGCTTGCAAACTTTGAAACTTGCAACTAGAGTTAACTTTCGCGCGCTTCCAGCACCGATGCTGTAACACACCGAAGAATACAGATGAATTTTCAGCTGCCCCATGTTTCCGTCAAGGTAAGGAAAATGAAAATTTTTCACACGCACGGCATAGTTGATGGATGAGCCCGAATGACTGAAATAACGAACGCTCCATTGTTGTCGCGTGTAAAAAATGGAAAAGTGGAAGAAAAAAGCACGATCTACAACGTGAATGGTTATTATTAGAGTCAAAGAGCGTCTGATGGGTTTTTTTCTCATTTGCGTTGACATGAGCGAAGACTTGTCTCAATTAGAGCGCGTGTGTCCAAGACAATGTTTTTCCTCGATGCTCATACCACCTGCGTGGTGTACACAAAGTTCTTGTCGACAAACTCTCCTGTGTCGCCACCGCCACTGGGGATGATATTGCATTATGCATTGCATTATCGTATCTTGTTGCACAGCGATGAAGTGTATTAAGGGACCCTTTTGATGTAAAACGGAGAACCACAGGTGTTTATAAGTGTGACATTGCAAAGGAAACTTTAAGATAATTCTTTTTCCATCACATTTTGTTTTTTTATAGATTTTTCCATTATGCTTAAACGGTAGTATAGGTTGTCCGCTTGATTGGGCTAAATCATACAGAATAAGATATGCAAGCTTTACCAAGAATGAGTGTACATTATAAATTCCACCTAAATGAAGGTGTAACAAATCAAATGTATCATTCAAACTTTTTAATTTATTCATGGTAAGTTTTAAGCATCCGCTAATGATTTTTTAGGTGTGACTAATCTATGTGACTATCTTATGTTTTTTCTGATAAAAAAAGTAACCATACATAGGATTGATGGTCTATTTTTGTAAAGAAAAAATTTTCCATCCAA